AAACTCTACTTTCACTAAAGTACACGATCGGAATACTTCTACCACCTCTGCTGATCAGTCATGGGAGCTGCCTCATGTCTGTCACCTTCCCGACCAGTATGACCTGATTACCCGGACGAGCGTGCCATGGCTCCCTTCAGCTAGCCAATGTTAGCAAAGAGCTAGCTAACAAAGCCCAGAGAAACAGACACTAAATCTCAATATATAACCTGTATGGATTTGAGGTTCAACACTTACGTATACTGGTAATGGCCACGGATAGCCAGCAGGTTCGGCTCCAACCGGCGATTTGAGCTTTAGCTCCAGCTTTTCTCCCATTCTCCACTTCACGGCTTGGCTGTGGTTAGCTAGCTAGCTACTGCTCTCTGTTAGCCAGCCGGTCGTTCAGCGAGCGAGCTACAACGTGAACATGTTGTAAGAAAGAAACGTGGAAACGCGTGAAATAAAAAAAAAAGACGCCGGCACTGGTTGCGGGGTAAACACCCACACAACACGGTCAAGTGGATAAATGTATCCGACTAGGGGTTGTATTTTGATGAAAATGCCTGTTTACGTCCACTGGCAATAACACATCGTCCGTATCGCCGCCATCTTGCCCGGCATGAATAAATATGGCAGGGGGCGACTGGGGGCAGAGACGACACGACGTCACTGAGACCGTGATACCAGGTGGCGTTAAAATCACTTTATGTCAGCTAAATGTAGATAGAATTACGTTGAGTTGGAGGATAACACTAGTGTTTAATTTTGGAAGTTATAATTTAAGCCTTGAGGAAATGATTATGTTATGTTAATTTATATAGCTAATGTTCATTGTTTTAATATAAAGATGTTTTATAAATATTCCACTTAATTGTGTATGCATTGGGTTTGAACTCTATCTTTTTATAGGCTATATAAAGGCAATTCATGTTTATGTGTTATATATTATAGGCTATGTCAGGTGGACATGGCTCTCATAAAGAAATACATCTAAACAAGACTAATCAGCCTTTCATAGATACTAGACCAGCATAAACTTTCTGTACCTTAAACTTTATTGAACATCATTTAGAGTGCTCATCATGAGATTAAACTGTGACCAATGCAGACTTCTGCTATTATAAAGGCACGTTTTAATCACATAACGTAGGCTACTAGAATACAAATGTAACAGAAAATTACAATTTGATTATAGGCCACATGATATAGTCTGAGAAGGTTTATGTATTGTCAAAATCATACATTTTTGGCTAAAAGCTGCTTTTACTAGGCTATTCAACACACATATTCAGAATATCTGCTCATTGCATGTTGTATAATATCTAAATTTCCCTCCCTCGCTCATTGCAGACCTTCGGTCACGCATCAGACAGCAGTGTGTGTCAGTTCAACACCTGGGTCCTAGAACTAGCACGTCTATATGAAATACACAAGTTTATTAATGTTGATTACACTTGGATGTGAGCTAATTTAAAATATCAGCTGTTAGTACTGAATATGGGCTGCACTGTCTCTTACAGCTCTGTGTATCAGTGAGAGTTTACTCCTGGTCAGGACTTTAATAAAAGTTGTCATCATTCTCTTTGAAAGCAAGACATAGTAAATACTGAACTCAGAGTAAACAAGATAAGGCATTCACTCTAGAAGATGCATTTTGATGCTAACTGCTAAAACAAATTGCAAAGCATTTCTGGTAAATGGAATTGCCTGAACATCTTAAAGCTCTTATTTTTTGCACAGTATTGCTGAAAACAAAAGTTAAAGAATGCATTGCTGGAAACACAGTAAGGTAACTGAAATATTGCCAAAGTAAGACGTTCTATTAATATCACACAGATGTCACACAATGAAATGCAGTTCCCTAAAGAGTTGAGGATGTAAAAGAAGTGGGCTGAATCCCATTGCATTGGAACAAAATAAAGCAAAAAATGCAATGATACACGTAAGTAATAATGAATCCAAGAGAACAAAGAAAAATAAATAAAACTTTAATGATTCAAAACTGTTAATATTTAAAAGAGCTGATTGTAATAGTTCACAGTGTTGTTATGCTAAATGAAGTGCTACAGATGTAATATAACTTCAGTGGAAGTGTAGTAGGTTTGAACAGGATTTGAAGATTATCCCATACATCCACTGCATTACCAAAGAAGCTCAAATAAGGATGAGAATTAGAAAGTGGATTGAAAACACACATGCTCAAAGACCTGAACATGTTGCTAAGTTTGGTTTGAATAGAATTGGGAGGGATGAACCCCTCTTTAATGGTCACACATGCAGAGCGCACAGCACACACAGTGACATTTGTTTTCTGCATTTAACCCATCCGAGTACCAGGAGTCTAGTACTAGGAGCAGTGGGCAGCTGCACAGCGCCCGGGGAGCAATGGGGGAAGGGGGATGTCTGTTGCCTTGCTCAAGGGCACCACGGCAGGGCAGGAGGTGAACTGGGACCTCTCCAAGTAGCAGTCCACACTGCATATTTTAGGTCTGGTCGGGGACTTGAACCGGCGACCCTACAGCTCCCAGTCCAAGCCCCTACTGACAACATTCATCAATAGTATGAATGTTGCTGAATCATTAACTAAGAACTAATAAACCTTTCATCACAGACGGCAACTGACCTTTAATACAGATACATATTTACAGACAGAGAAAGAGTGAAAGATAACGAAAAGCATAACGCTGGTTAAACCTGAATCACGATCAATAGACCTGGACTGATCAGAGTCCTAAATGAGGACAACTGTCCAAGTATAAAAAACTGTTGTTCAAGAGTTGTACAGTGTGGTTGAACCCTTGAACAGCATTTTCTTCTCCATGTGCAAAACAAGATCAAAAGAATATTCCCCTCAGCCTCAAAGTTGTAGCAGTAGTTTAGATAATATTCATACCAATTTCATTTAACTCGACCAGTACTGCCCGACCTGCAACAAAATGGCTCATTACCAAGATATTTTTTATTAAGTATCAAAGATGCATTCAACTTCACTTTTCTTAGTTCTTAGCATTGATATAGCTGAAGCATCGTCAACAAGGGCAAGGCATAACTAGCTGCAACTTAAGTAACTCAAACACTGCACAAGGAAGTATTCAAGAAGATACATTTAAATAAGGTAAATATAGGGATTTGATTGGTTACATGTTTATTGTGAGGACTGTAGTAACCCAGGCAATAACAAGATAAAGAAAGCCAGAGGGGGAACTGAGATTGATTTGAACTTTTCCTTCCCAGCACTTAAAATGACAAAAAGTGTCTGCAGCTGCTTGGCTGTAAATCAGCAGAACTGGTTATTGCTCTGTGCTTTGAACCCTCACCTGCACACAGGTCTGTGGACAGTAGTGTGCACGACTGCTGTTGTGTGTTCAATTCTCTGCAGCGTGAGCACACAATTAATCAAAATCAGAGGATGCTACAGGAGGCAGAGCAACAAAAACAACTGTCACTCCTATCGCTGAAATGTCTAAACAGAGGCAAAAAAAAACTGTACATGTATGTGGTTCTGTGATAACGTTGATTAATTTTTAATGTTGAAGAAATCACATTAACAAGTAATATAATTTTAAATGAACTGATCTGTATTAATTCTGACTATATAAGACTGTTTTGGACTACATATTTTATGTCAACAAATTAGTTGATGGGAGTCAGATATATTTGGATGCCAGTGAGAGTTCTTTTCTGTCTTTTGGATAATGTGCATTTTACAATATAGACAAATGAACCATTTTAGAATGTATTATGAAATACCCTCATGTCCAATTCACAAACCAATTACCTCGGATAATTGACTGACCTTTGTTTCAACTGTGGCCTACATTTCACCATTAGAGCTCCAACCCGCTCTGTTAGCATACCATCTAAAAATTGAAAGCCCAGACAAATAAAATCAAAGTAAAACCTTGGAAACACTGAGGGGGATGAGAGCTCTCAGTTTCTTTTCAATGTGTGTACACATGTATGCACTGCTGTATGTTGAGGGGAGGTGGCAGCCTGCCACAATGAACCCTCTGACCTGGGACCACCCTCCCCCTCTCCAGCTCCCTGAGCAGCACTGAGGCCAGTATTAGGACGGCAGCCAGTAGCAGCACAGCGAGGCGAAGCAGGGCCAAGTGGAGCGCAGTCGCTATGTAGATTTCTGGGATTGTTCACAGTGTGTCAGATTACAGCAGCACTGCGCTCTCCTTCGCACCGCTGCAGATCTTCTGCTCACACCCACATGCTGAGGGCCTGTTTTGGGATATGCATTTCGGTGCAAGGGTCAGACTTGGCAGTAAACAGCATGCAGTCATGGGTTATAACAGGATGGTCACTAGGAACTCGTACAGAATACTGCCCAATTACCATAAATAGTCAAAGGAGTGGGTCAACTAAACATTTTCCATAATTTCCTTGGAGTAAAATAGATTCTAGCGGCTGGCGCTGACCCTTTAACTCTCAGGTTAAACAATTTAAACTGAGGATAGCAGAGCGATCCATACGTTTCTAGTGAATTTGTCTCTTTTTTGGAACAAAAACAAAGTGTCCCTGCACCATGTGGAGGCATTTGGGACTAAACGTGTGACACTGCTGCCATCTACAGGACAGCCTTTCCAATACAGGCTGCAGTAATTGTAAACAAATGTTAGAAGACTATTCAGTGAGAAAAGAGTTAAAAAAAAAAAGAAATCAAATACTGAGTTTATTATTTTTAATAGTTTTATAGAAAGGAGAAACCAGACTCCATCTTACTTTGTTTTAGAAAATGGTTTTAGGGCTGAAATAAGCTGATCTATGTCTCCAAAGTCAAAGTCTTACATATTTTGTCTTCTCCTCCTGCAAAAAAAACACAAAACACCCGTGTCATTTACATTCACGGTATTGCTATACATGTTCAAGACGATAAATATTCTCCATTAAAAAACAATATAGGATTAATAAAAAAGAAATACTCAAAACCAAAATCTTCGACTTCTAATAAAATGTAACCTTGTAATAATAATTGACAGCAACAACTGGTTCAGAATTTCACAAATAAGGATTTTAAAGAATTTTTATTGAAACAAAGATCAATTTCAGTCCCAGTCCCTTATGGTTTTTCAAAAAAGGCGTGCTTTGGGTTTTAGCGCCAACATTTCACGACTCTTCTCCAAAGCCCTCGTTGCTTATACAGCAGCATGTATATACTCAAAGAAAAAGAAAAGGAAAAAACCTATACAACAGGTCATTTTGGCACAATCAACTCATACAACGGTACTCCTGTGCTGGCATATCGTTACTCTTAAACAGTTTGCTGTGGTGCAAAACGTTTTTTTACTGATGAACTAATTCACAATGGATTTTGACCGTAACAGAAGAAAAGATACAGTAAGAGAGGTGGAAAGTGTCTGTACTGCCATACTGGGCAATGATACATCTGGTAACAAGACATTCCCCTTTACAAACTTAACACCTTTCCAGATACACTAAGTCCCAGATCCAGACTCAGCAGCATCGTTGTGATGAGTCTCGGAGCATTGGCCTAAATGTAGTGTTTGCAAAAGGAGAGCGATATAATCTGAAACCTGCCGTACAGTCATGCAAATCTCATGAGAAGCAAAGGAGCCTCCTCTGACTTCTCACAAGAAAAACACTGAGGAAAAAGTCCACTGGGTGATAAATGATGAACATTGAAATGATAACAGGAAGTTGAGAATACTGCGACATGTTTCCTTTGCCAACATTTGGTAGAGCGTTTTTGTTTCATCCCACCCGGTAAGCACTTTGGTATACATGCTGGTCAGAGCCACGTCGAATTGATTACAAACTGAATTCAGTTGGGCTAGGCCTTTGCTTGGCTTTTGATATCCTTGGGCAGTTATTTTTTTCTTCTTCAAGTAAAGATACAAAGACTTGTTCATTGTAACACATTCATAAAGCATGCACTCTGATGGACAAAGAGAAAAGTGTCATTTGGACAAAACCCCCAGGTAACAGCAAGATCAGGAGAAAAGTGCAGATTTTTCATATTCACATAAAAAGATCGATATCAGAAATGCACTCGCTGACCAAACTCGACTCATCAGGGGAAGTTCTGATACAGCAGGTCTAATTTTTCTTTCGGAAACGCCGAGTGGATACGTCTCGACGCGGCATTTCTTAGAGCTTATCCAGGAAATAGATTTCAGGTCCGTGAAAATCTGACATCACATTTGAAAAAGGCAAAAACTGGTCGCAGGTGAGCGTACGCCCCACCCCCCGGAGGATGATTGAGGATGGCTTCATCTTAACAGTCGTCTCGATGGACTATCACATGGGCCGATGAGCAGACAAAACTAAAATTATGATCTTTTTAAAGAAACTGTAAACACCATTTCAACATAACTAAAGGGGACAATAATGCTAACTTAGGAAATAAATCAAATCTGTGGATATAAACCACTTTTTAAAGAGGAAAAGAAAAAAGCCTCCCCTGTCTGCATCATCTTACAATTCGAGGATCTTCTGAAGCATGATGAAGAGTAGGCCTGGCGATAAACTCTTCGGATAATTCATATTGCTACAAAAGCCATCATGACCTAAAGTGGAAAGACAACCAATTAAGAGCTGATTATAGATTTCCATTGATGCATTGTTATGAACCATTACTAAAGACCGCTGTAGTAACCGATGAACAAGCACTGCAGCTTGTAACGACTGAGTGAGGAGGACAGTGTGCGGAGAAGGAAACCGCTAAAGAGTGACGGGACACTTTCTCACACGTCCCCTCTGTTAAGACATCTGCACAATATTTTAGAAAAGAAAAGCCGAGCGCACAAACAGGCGTCCGACTGTGTGCATTTGGATGCTTGATTTAATCAACAAGGTATATCTGCATCTCTTTAAAAGAGAAATCATATATTAAACGCCAACAGATTTGACAATTAGATGAGCAAGGCAGCTTCTGAATAAAATACTGGCGGACATTCAAGATGTGAGGACAGAAAAGAAGAGACAGCTTTTAAGTACTGATATGAAGGAGTGTAAAATTCGTTCCCCCCCCATTTAAGTGTCAAAAATAAATAAAAATAAAACAAAAACGGAGACTCCAACGTCATAACCATTCGATATGGGGGAAACTGAGTTATCCTTTCATTACTCAAAAACAAATTAGTCGCATTTGGCATACATCCTGCCCCCCCCCGCCCACCTTCAAAAGCAGGAAAGATTTTGGGGGATTTTCTCCCGAGAAAGTGGGAACGTTTCCACGTTTGTCTCGTTCAGACCTCAAGGTGGGCTGTTGAGAAAAACAAAAGCCACACAGAACTTTTTTTTCTGAATGCATTGTAACTACACAGACGGACCTGGCCACACTAGGCACAACCCCATCTTCCAAAAAATAAACAAAAATAATAAAATTAAAGAGAGAAAAAGATTGTGTGTCCTGCTTATTCCTCATTAGAGCCTTTGGCCCCAATGAGGGGAATACTCCTTTCATGGCATCTTTCATGAGAACACTTTTTTTAGCACAGACGGAGTCCAGAGTTTTCCTTTATCTGCGTGGTTTCCAGAGACAACAGGTAAACACTGTGCAATAACTACTTCTAAAGCTGCTGTTGATCGTACTCGGCAATAAGTCTCTTTATATGTGCCAGTTTGTTGTGTAGATATTCACAGCGGTTCTTCTCTTGGCTATAGTTTGGATTAGTCTGCAGGGGACATGAGAAACAGTCACAATCTGATCATCTAATTACGTACTTTAAAAACAGAAATATGTGTTATAGCCGGACTCAATCTTACCTTTTTTATTTTATGATACTCTTGAAGTATCTGATTATGGATTGTCTGTAGAGAGAGAAAACACACAGAATAAAGGGTAAGAATAAAACTGATTGGTGGATCGTTGTAGTGCTAACAATGACATTGCGTAGGGGATGTACCTTGTACTTGTCTGTGCCTTGGTTGAGTTGTTTGAGCTCGTTGTCGAGCACCGTGAACTGCCTGGTGATGCCTTCTATCCGAGCGTGCAGACCCCGGTACTCGCTGTACTCGGCGTTGAAATCGGTTTTATACTTCTGACGCTGCTCCGGAGAGCCGATCACCATGTACTTCCTAGGAGGAAAATAATTGAGAGATTGAGGGAGGAGCTATCCAGTTACATGAAAGCTCAAGAGAGAGAAATAACGGTTATTAGAGGGAGACAAGCAAGAGATACAGAAGAACATGACAATACTAGCTCGCACACACAAAAACAAATAAAAAAAGCTTTAGGATCCTTTAACATTTCAAATAACTAGGTTGGCTGTCCAATAAACCCAATAACCAAAAACCCACATGTCATGCAGGACATATTTATTAATCCATATTAGGGGTGCAACAAGTAATCGACTTAATCGATCACCAAATTAGTTGCCAACTAATTCAGTCGTCGATTCGTTGGGACGTCATCACGTGTGTTTTACGCGCCGTTAAGCTCCAGCGCTATTGATCTTTTATCGGTACTGGAGACATTTAAAAAATATATGTCATGTATTATTGCTACAAAAACATTATATCGCAGTCTTAGTGTCGCCAATTCGTTTCTAATATGCAAAAAGACAAACAAATGCGTCTATGATGTATTTTCGATCAGACGAGATCTCTCCCCCGGTGCGAGGGGGCGGGGCAGTTTACACACACGCAGCTGCTAAATGCAGCACACACTGCGGAGATGGCGGAGAGAACGCGCTCCAAGGTGTGGTTAAACTTTACCCGTCTTGAGGTGGACAATGCTCCTTGCCAAGAATGTTTAGCATGTAAGGGCGGTAATACGAGCAATTTGTCTAAACATTTGAGAGGGGTCTGCCTGCAGGCCTCCACTCTCAGGACAGTTCCGGTGTAGGCAGGCTCCCATGAAACATTTAGCCAAAGTGCACCACATTCAGACGGAGGAATGCACCGGGTTCGACTGTCTTTCTAGTAGCTCT